TTATTTCCGAATATTACTAATATTCAGTACAGACGCCCCTCTAATTACTTGTCCAGATTCCCTTCACAGTGTGTGGTGTTGTGATGTTCGGTATACAATTGTGGCCTATAGATCGTCTCGAAAAAAAAAACAAACAAAAAAGTTTTCGCTCCATTTCATCCCGAATTGTTATCTGATCATCATCGAAAATTGTAGGCGTTATCCTTGACCATAACTGGAACCTCATGGAAAATTTCAAAGCGATCAGTGCTATATTTCCGCCCTCTAGTGTGGTTATGGGTTACTAAATAATATCTGAATACATAAGCACCTGTAAATATTTACGTGTAACTCCCACATCCGAGTACATACCACAATATAATTGGTATCAGTTTAAAGGTCAACCACTCCTCTTGGATATACTATCCACTTCCCGGCTCTATGTCCTTCAGGAGTAAATATATACGCCATAGAATACAAATTTTGTCTTTTTTCACACAAAAGTCAGGGTATATTTGACCCGCTAAATATTGACGGATCTTTATCAAAACAGGTATGCTTATTCTTTGGCCCAATCCGCTTCTCCATGTAAAAACTCGATATGTTTGGGCCATAATTGCGGCCTCTGGAGCGACCAGAAAAATCGACAAAAATTTAGTATTTGGACCATTTCATCCCTTAAATATTATCCGATCTTTACCAAAAACAATAGGCCGAACCCATCCTACATGCAAAATTTCGTGGAGATTGGTCAATAACTGTGGCCTGTATCGTGTTTACAAATTATAATGGACAGACGGACGGACGGACACACATGTCTAGATCGACTCAGCTAGTCGAGATATGACGATCGGTATACTTAAAGGTGGGTCTAGGACCAATATTTCGCGGCGTTACAAACTTTTGGGGCTGCACAAAGCTATAATACCCTGACAACATAGTTGTGTAGGGTATAACAAGGTTTTTATTTAAGAAAAAAGTCCTTGAAAAGATATGAAAGATTGACGCTTGTAGCTCTGATAGTCCTTGAAAAATATTCTACAAAGCTCACCCAAGCTCATATGGTAGTCAATCAAAAATCTTTGGAAATATTTCTCAAAAACTCCACAAATATAGCTCTGACTGTCCTTAAATATATTCTTTTAAAAATCCATGCATATAGCTCTGCAGGTTCTTTAAAAATATTGTTTATTAAATCTAAGGTTATGCCTCTCGTAGCCCTTGAAAATATTCTTAAAAATCCATGCTTATAGCTCCGATAGATCTTCAAAAATCGTCTGCAAACATTCTACAATAATAGCTACAACAGCTCTTCTACATAAAAAATCCACGGTTAAAGCTCTGATGAGCCTCAATGCAATATAAAGATTCTTCAATGATGTTCTGTAAAACATTTTCCTTTGAGTGAGTGACTGACTGACAGATCATCGCCCAGACGAAATGGCTAAAGCTAGAAGTTTGAAATTTTGAGTGTGGATTGACGTTGGTGTGTAGGCGTGAGATAAGGCTGGGATTTTGGAAATTCGAACTAGAAAGGTACGAAAAATGGTACCTTATGTATTAGGCGAACGGGAAGAGCTAGAATTCTGAAATTTGGACTGTGGGTCACTGATGGAATGTTAGAAAAGTACTAAATTTAGTTCTAATTCTACATATATTGAACATATATAGCTAAAATCTTGAAATTTTATATAGAATACAGGTTGGGAAGAAATGGTGATTTTCGTACTTATGAATTAAGGTACGAAGCATAGTACGTATGTGTACTAAATGGTACTATATTTGGTACAACTTGGACTCCAGAGTTGGACTCCAGAATTTTGGAATTAAAATTACTTTTGAAGTGTAGGATTGACGTAGTTTAATTACAGAAACAAAATGTACTAAATGGTACCAATGGATAGGGTTGAGATCCTGAAATTGTGATTAAATTAATATTACTGTTGGAGTGCAGGATTGAAATATGTCGGTAGTTTTGAAAATTTGTCATTTCGTGTACTAAATGGTACTAAATTTGGTAAAGTTTAGATCAGAGTATCCATTCACTCTGAGGGATGAAAACTTAAATTTAGAATGCAAATCGCAGAATTAAGGTAGTATTGGAATTTCGTACTCTTGGATACGAGAAGCACTAAATGGTACTAAATAGGGTACAATTCGTTTTGTGTGAGCGGGAACCCTAAAATTTGGAATCAAAATTAAGGGTGGAGTATAGGATTGAGATATAGAGGTAGTTTTGAAAATGCATGATAATGTGTACTAAATGGTACTAAGTTTATTTAGATTGAGATAAAAAACTTATATTTGAAAATAAAATTACAGTACAGGATTGAGACAGTGTTGAAAATTCAAACTTAAAGTACGAAAAGTACTAAATGGTACTAAATATGCTACAATTTGGATTTATATGAACGAATAGGGCAGGGATCCTGAAATTTATGATTAAAATTACTGTTGGAGTGTGGTGAACGGATAGAGCTGGAATACTTAAATGTGGACTAAAGCTTATTATTGGAGAACATGACTGAGGTAGTTTTGGAAAATTAGACATTGGTGAACGGGTAGAATTCGAATCCCGAAAGTTGCAACTTAGGTTACTGTGGGAATGTAGATTTGATAAAGTTAGGAATATGGGTACGAAAAGTACAGAATGGTACCAAATCTGGTACAATTTGGTGTTTGATGAAGAGACAGAGCTGGAATTCTTACATTTTGACTTACGATTACTATTTGAAATTAGGATTGAGGTATATTTGGAAATTCGTACTTATGAGTACGAAAAGTACTAAATTTTGACATACGATTACTCTTTGAAATAAGGATTGAGGTATATTTGGAAATTCGTACTTATGAGTACGAAAAGTACTAAATTTGGACTTTGGTGGAATTGCGATTACTGTTGGAGAGTAAGATTGATGTAGTTTTGGAACCATTTGGATTTGCTTGGATCCTGTGATTTAGAATTTAGATTACTGTTGAAGTGTAGTATTTAGCTATAGAGATAACTAGGGAAACTCGAATTGATTTGTACGAATAGTAAATAGAATAGCAAATGCACTAAATTTCGATTTCGGCAGCGGAATCACATTATATGCATAGAATCACATTCTATGTCGATTTATGCATGTCCGTCTGTCTGTCTGTCCATGTTAAATTGTAAATAAAGTACAGGTCGCATTTATTATCCGAATTGGATGAAATTTGGCATACGTCACATATTTGGCCCTAGGACGAACCCTATTGAAATTGGGAAAAATTTGTTCAAATTTAGATATAGTTCCCATATATATTTTAGTCCGATTTTAGGTAAATAGTGCACCAAACTCCCTATATATCCTTCAATTTACACAAAATTAGGCACAGCGGGCTGAATTACGTCTAGAACGATGTGTGTTAAACATCGTGAAAATCGGTTCCGATTTAGATATAGCTCCCATATATAACTTCGTCCGATTTAATGTAAATGGTGTACCAAAGTCCATATATCTTTCGACTTGCACGAAATTTTGCATGGGGTACTTTACTACTTTCCTTACTGGTTTTAATCTGTTTAAGGGGAACCCCCCCCCCATTCTCGGGGTCAAAATTTTTGTTGATATAAATCGAATCTACACTACTTAAAGAATACCCCTACAAAATTTCAAGTGAAAATCTCAAGAACTCTTGAAGATATAGCCGATTTATTGTGTCAGCATCAAGTGACGGCTGAAGGGCTTCTCAAACTTTAAACGCGTTTTTCTCTAAACATTTTTTTGCGAATGGCGGGCACGATAACTCAAAAACTAATAATCCAATCGATTTCAAATTTTTACACGTTTCTCTGTGAGTGTATAGCTATCGTATGAACTAGGATAAAGCCAATCGGTGAAGATCTTCCTTATTTTTTAACTTGGTTTTTGGTAAAAAATCGGCGATTTTCCAAAAATATTTTTTCAAAGTTCCGCCATTTTGGTAATTTTAGAGCGAAGTCTATAATCCTAGTTCATACGAGAGCCAGACATGTACTCTTTCTAACACCGTTGGAATTTTCGGATTCCGATGTTCCAGTGAGGAGTTATCATGCCCGCCATCAAAAATAAGGACTTCTCTTTAATTACAAACAACAACAACAAAACAATAACAAAATTTTTTTGTAAATTATTTTTTCTTCTGTATTAAATCTTCAATTATATATGTGCAAAGTTACAAACCTTAACAAGCATTGGTATTGATTTACCAGCCCTTTGAAAATCTTGAAAAATTAAAATCGAGAATGGGTGGGTTTCCCTTAATGGAAGTAAGAGAGATTTCGGAAAATAGTGCTTATGTGTATGAAGAGTACTAAATCGCAAACTATAGTACAACAAATTTACAGTATTTACGATACTACATGAAATATTTTTTGAATTCCCTTTCCGCATACAAAGAAACGGGCACTTTGCTATATTAATATAATTATTTACGTTTAACCATACTGGGTAGACCACCAACAAATAAAATCTATTCTGCTGTAAATACAATTAAATCCCTAGCTTAATAATTTCATATATAATGCAATATACAATTTATTTCTTTTGTAAATACATTTATTTAGTGAATAATTTAGTTTTGAAACAAAACAAATAGAATAGCTGTTAACAAACTCCATGGCTTCTGAACAAACTTTAGATATTGAGTCTGAATCCATAGAGCCTGGAAATGATAGCGAAAAAGGTTCAGTCATTGATAATGACGAAGATGAGGTAAAAATAAAATAAAATAAAAATCAACAACAATTAAAGTTGCATGTGGCATGAAACAAATTTTTTACTCCCTTTTTATATAAGGACACATTTTCTACTACTTTCTACAGATCTTTTGTAATATTTTTGTGTAGACTTGGTAAAATGTATGTTTGTATGTGTCCCCTATGCTTTTTGTGGTGAGCTCAAATAAAAGCACAAAACTTGATTTTTTTCTCTTGGCACAATTTTTTTGATCTTGAAAAAAAATGTTTGAAAAAATTTAATTTCAATATTTCTCTTTTTTTTTTTTTTGCTTAGCTTAATCGTGCCTCCACGGCCAAGCCAAAACCATCTACAGATGGCGCTGGTGGTGGTGGCGGCGGCGATGCTGATGATTTGGATGCCTGGGTAAAATCTCGCCAATTGGTAAAACCCGAAAATCAATTAGATCTCACCGAAGCTGAATTATCGGAGGAAATAACCAAAGTCCTAACGACCACCAATACAAATGTTGTACACAATTTGGTGGTCTATAGTTTCAAGGAGGAGGCATATGTTCCGCTACCACCTGCCGGTAATACAGTTACCCTGCTGAAATTCGATGGCAATTCGCTGCACATTGATTCGGATGAGGCTAAATATCAAATGGAAGAAAGTGGTGAAATTGGTGAGTTTAAAAAATAATATCAGTGGTGAAAATTTGTTTCTTTAAATGTAGAAAATACATTTAGTGGTGGATGATTACTTCCGTGGTGAATAATTTATTAGCTATAAATTACATAATTATTGCTGTGGTTGATAATTTCATCAGAGGTGAACAGTACAATAATTGTTAATTATTGGTCTGTACCCGTACTGCAAGAATCTACTACTTTTTACTCCGATAACACTCTTTTTCCTTTATGATATCGAAAAAAATAGTAAAATCGAGTAGATTCTTGTAGTACGGGAACAGACCATATATCAGTTGTAATAGTGGCGGATAACATTTTGAATTGTCGTTGCGATAAAAAAACCAGTAAGGAAAGTAATAAAGCCTGGACTGGACCGACTATATGATACCCTTCAACCCTTTTGGTATATTCTACATATGTATCCTAACAGACGTCGCGTTTTTGTTATATATCTTTATCTGAACCGATTTCAGGGAATCTTGCCAGAGACTAATTTATATTAATTCATTACGTTGTGTCGATCGGTCTAGCTATGTATCTTTTCACGAAGCTTAGCAACATCATTCTAGATTTAATTCAATACCCTATACCGAAATTCGTGCAATTCGAAAGATATATAGGGACTTTGGTACACCATTTACCTTAAATCGGACGAAAATATATATGGGAGCTATATCTAAATCTGAACCGATTTTCACGAAACTTAGCAGTCGCTATTCTAGACTTAATTCAGTACTCTATGACAAATTTCGTGCAAATCAAATGATTTTCAGAGACTTTGGTGCACCAATTACATAAAATCGGATGAAAATATATATGGGAGCTATATCTAAATCTGAACCGATTTTCATGAAACTTTGCACACATCATTCTAGACTTAATTCAGTACGCTATGCCAAATTTCGTGTAAATCGAAAGATATATAGGGTCTTTGCTACACCATTTACCTTAAATCGGACGAAGATATATATGGGAGCTATATCTAAATCTAAACCGATTTTTAGGAAACTTTGCACACATCATTCTTGACCTTATTCATTACGCTGTGCCAAAATTCGTGCAAATCCAAAGATTTTCAGGGACTTTATATATGGGAGCTATATCTAAATCTGAACCGATTTTCATGAAACATGACACACATTATTACGGATGCAATTCAGTACGCTATGCCAAATTTCGTGTAAATCGAAAGATATATAGGGACTTTGCTATACCATTTACCTTAAATCGAACGAAGATATATATGGGAGCTATATCTAAATCTGAACCGATTTTCACGAAACTTTGCACACATCAATTTTGACCTTATTCATTACGCTGTGCCAAAATTCGTGCAAATCAAAAGATTTTCAGGGACTTTGGTGGACTATTTACCTAAAATCGGGCGAAACTATATATGGGAGCTATATCTAAATCTGAACCGATTTTCATGAAACTTTGCACACATCATTCTAGACCTTATTTACTACGCTGTGCCAAATTTAGTGCAAATCGAAAGATATATAAGGACTTTGGTACACAATTTATCTTAAATCGGATGAAAATATATATGGGAGCTATATCTAAATCTGAACCGATTTTTCCCAATTTCAATAGGGTTCGTCCTTGGACCAAACAAATGAGCTGTGCCAAATTTCATTCAATTCTAATCATAAATACGACCTGTACTTTGTTTACAATTTAACATGGACAGACGGACAAACGGACAGACGGACGGACATGCATAAATCGACTCAGAAAGTGATTCTATGCATATTCTCAAAAGGAACCATGGGTCTATCTCGATTATTTTTGTCTGTTACAAACATATGCACAAATACATAATACCCTGTACCTCAGTGTGGTGAAGGGTATAAAAATCACCCCTTTCAGGGGTGAACAATTTAAATAATGATGATCAAATTTATTCAGTGGTGGTTATTTTTGTACAGTGGTGAATACTTAACCGGTTGTGAAAAATTTATATAGTGTTGAATATTTTATCCAATTAGTGATAAGTTCATCGGCGGTTAAAATATATTCTAGTGGTGAATTAACCATCCAATGGTGAATAATTTGAAATGTGGGTAATAATTTAAGAAATGGTGACCAAAGACATTTTTTACGAGCGCCTACAAAACAGCATATAACCGCTGCCCTCGTCATGACATTAAAATTCTGCTAGGAGATTTGAATGTGAAAATCGGAAGGAAAATAGTTTTGGCTCCACCGTCGGAAAATTCAGCCTCCATGAAGAAACATCCGTCAACATCGTCGACTATAAAGACGCATTTGACAGCACTATACGTTCAGAGGTGTTTAAAGCTATGTCTGTGTTCGGTATTCCAAAAATTTAATACGGCTATGCCGGATAACTTTAACTGACACAAGATCAGCAGTTAAAGTCGGAAAGGACCTCTCGGAGGTGTTTAAAGCCATGTCTGTGTTCGGTATTCCAAAAATTTAATACGGCTATGCAGGATAACTTTAACTGACGCAAGGTCAGCACTTTAGGTCGGAAAGGACCTCTCGGAGACCTGTAATACCGAACGCCGATTTAGACAAGGTGACAGTTCGTCGTATGACCTTTTTAACATCCTGAACAGATATGACACTCTGTACACCAAACAGGATATGTTACTTGTCTACGCCGATGACATCGATATAATGGGTCGAACATTGCGAGCGGTAACAGCCACCTCTGAATGAATTGAGGAGGAGTCTGACAAAGTGGGTCTGGCGAAAAGACCAAACTGATGGTACCCACGCGCAAAACGACCAGTAGACTTGGACCAACTGTGGAACTTGAGAACTACAGCTTTGAAGATCTTATACCTTATATTTATACCTTGATACCGCCATAAATAAAACTAACAACATCAGTTTTGAAATTCGGAGAAGAATAGTGTTGGCCAATAGATGTTACTATGGTCTGAGTAAGCAATTTTAGAACAAAGCCACTCTCGCCAGACCAAATTAACACTCTACAAGATGCTGATACTACCCGGGCTGGTGTAGGGATGCTTAGTTGTGCGCAACAGTCGACTTTTCGATTTTTGCCAAATTTTTTTGTGACCAAAAGTCGATTTTTAGACTTTGCCTTTGAATAAAACGTCGGATTTTCAATCTTTCGATTTTGTCAAACCTGTTCAAAATCGATTTTTGACTTTTACTGACTATCGCAAAACCGACTAAAAATTTAAAGTTCTGAAATGTGAATATCTTGGGCAATTTGGGTTTTGGGATAATAAATCGTGTATTTAGAAAGAAAATCGAAGGTCGACTTTGTGATTTCCTCATAGATCAAAAGTCGACTTCGACTTTTTGTCTTTTTAATACAAAAAGTCGATTAGTGGAAAGTCGAATTACTTATGGATACATGCGCAAGCAGATGAGGCAGCTCTTGGAGAAAAATGTGGTGAATATCAATTAGATCATTTATTCGGTTGGGGATTATTTTTCTTCATTGTAAATAATTTATCCCTTAAATAAATTATCTAAATTAAGTAACACCTCCATCTTAATCTACCACAGGATATCCCCTACCAGCTCCACGATATTCTTTAATGGAAGCTGAAGCGGCACCACCCAAAGCTGATGACGGTGAAGCTGGTGAGGGTGGAGAAGGCGACGATCAAGAAGCAAAAGAAGGTGAAGAAGCCGGGGAAGAGGCTGAAGCTGAAGAAGAAGTTGAAGAAGAGGCTGCAGAGGAGGCTGGGGAAGCTGAAGAAGGAGAGGGTGAAAAGGCAGAAGAGGAGGCAGCAGAAGCAGCTCCAGTTGCCGCCACAGGTGGGGGAAAGAAGCGCAAGCTTATCAATCAATTCAACTTTTGTGAACGGGCCGCATTGACATTTACAAACCCGACAAGGGTAAGGAGGGGAAGCTGGAGTTTTGGGATTCATTCAAAATAATAAATTAACAAATTATTTTCAGAATGTCGACACCCAAACCATACCACCTCCACGCTCTCAATACGGAGCCAATGTCTTGCAATGGGTAATCTATGATAGTTATGCCGAAGATTTTGAACAGCAACAAAAGGAACGAGACAAGAAAGACGACAAGAAAGTGCAACGTAAGGATGAGCTGAAAATGAGTAAACAGGAGCTAAAAGCAGCCCAGGCGGAGGAATTGAATAAAAAATATCTCAAATGTTGGCAAATTTTGGAACGAATGATTAATCAAAATATCTATAAGGATATTGCGCATGATTATCGCTATTGGGAAGATCCGGCAGATGAATTTCGTGATGGTGAAGGTACCCTATTGCCTCTGTGGAAATTTCAATATGAACGGACAAAGAAAATGAGCGTAACCGATGTTATGTTCAATCCGTACTATTATGATTTGTTTGCCGTGTGTTTTGGATCACGTAGGTGACCTTGGAAGTGAGAACATTTTTCCTATTTTATTTCTTTTTTTCTAGATGACTTTATGAAACAACCCAGTGAGGGTGCGATTTGTTTATTTACCGTCAAGAATCCTTCGTATCCGGACTATATAAGTAAGAGTGCAAACGTGAAAAGTGGGGTTATTGTAACCGATTTTTTCTTATTTCAGTCATGACGGAAAGTGGGGTAATGTGCTGTGATATCCACCCTAAGTATCCTTTTTTAGTTGCCATTGGCCTCTATGATGGCAATGTCCATGTCTATAATCTAAAGGAGAATTATCGTGAACCTTTGTATATTTCAATGGGTGTTGGCGATAAACATATCGAATGTGTTTGGGAGGTAGGTTTTCAAGGAGTCTGGATTTTTTATTTTTATCAAAGACAGCGAGAGACGTTAAATATATTTTTTTCAAGGACCAAAAGAGGCGTGGATTTTTCAAATAGATTTTTTTCAAGGACCAAAGGAGGCGTGGATTTTTTAAAAAGATTTTTTTCAAGGACAAACGGAGGCGTGGATTTTTTAAATATATATTTTTTTTCAAGGACAAATGGAGGCGTGGATTTTTTAAATATATTTTTTTTCAAGGACAAAAGGAGGCGTGCATTTTTTAAATATATTTTTTTCGAGGACCAAAAAAGGCGTGGATTTTTTAAATATATATTTTTTCAAGGACCAAAAGAGGCGTGGATTTTTTAAATATATTTTTTCAAGGACCAAAGGAGGCGTAGATTTTTTAAATATACTTTTTTCAAGGACCAAAGGAGACGTGTATTTTTTAAATATATTTTTTTTCCAAGGACCAAAAGAGGCGTGGATTTTTTAAATATATATTTTTTTCAAGGACCAAAGGAGGCGTGGATTTTTTAAATATATATTTTTTTTCAAGGACCAAAGGAGGCGTAGATTTTTTCAAGGGCCAAAAGAGACGTGGATTTCTTAAATATATTTTTTTTTCAAGGACCAAAGGAGGCATAAATTTTTTAAATAGATTTTTTTCAAGGACCAAAGAAAACCTTGAGGCCTCCCTTCCATAAAAGGTCTGAAAGTATTTTTTTTTTCAATGACCAAAAAAAGACCTAGAGGTCTTCCTTCCATATAAAATCTGGAGATGTTTTTTCAGCAGAATGCCCGGAGGTATTTCTTCCATAGGAGACCAAAAAGTCGTCTTTCTCCGTAAGCCCTAGAGGTCGTTTTTAATGTCCTATTCCATAGAAGACCAGAAGGTTTTCTTCCATAGATGGTCAGGACGTCTTCTTCCAGAAAAGACCAATATTTCTCCTCCAGTAGAAATTTTCTTTTATAGAATTATTTTTCATAATTATTTGCCTTTCATTTCCTTCCTTTCAGATAAAATGGGGTCCGGATATGGCTGATGGTGAAATAAATTTCTATTCCGTATCGTCGGGAGGTCGCGTTTTCAATTGGGTGTTGATGCAAAATAAATTAATGGTAACGACAATAATTACTCTCTTCCTCGAGAATGGTATTGTATCCGGCCCCGATGGCACTGAATTGCGATTACGTAGTTGCGGTTCCTGTATGAAATTTCATCCAGAAGATCCGGAAATATTTCTAGTCGGCACCGAAGAGGGTTGCATCTACAAATGCAGCATTGCCTATAGTTCCAAATATCTAATGACATATCGGGCACATAATCTCTCCGTTTATCGTATCGATTTTAATCGTTTCAATTCGAATATTTTCATATCGTGTAGTGGTGATTGGCGTGTTAAAATCTGGGAAGATATGCGTCCGGAACCGTTATTTATATTCGATTTAGGTTCGGCAGTGGGTGATGTTAAATGGGCACCATATTCCAGTACGGTCTTTGCAGCGGTCACAAATGAGGGAAAGGTCTATGTTTTCGATTTGAATGTGAATAAATACAAGGCGATTTGTATTCAGGCTGTCGTACCGAAGAGGAAAAATAAATTGACGCGACTGTCGTTTAATGAAAAGTTGCCGTTCATTATTGTGGGAGATGATAAGTAAAGATTTGTTGTATTTGGTTTTCTTACTGATACTATAATTATTATTTTGTTTTCCTATTCCAGAGGCACTGTCACCTCCCTGAAATTGTCACCCAATTTACGTCAGATGGTAAAACCTCCCAAGAAACAACAAAATGTGGAACAATCTGTTTTGCAGGTGCAAAAATTGGAGAAGTTACTTTCGTTGGTGCGAGAACTACCGGAAGGCGAAATTATTAAGGATACAACAACAACTGTCGCAAGTTGAAAAATAAATTATATTGTAAAACATATTGGTTTAATTTAATTGTACATAGGCTTGTAGAGCGGCATATATTAAAAGTTCTTGGGCGTACTGGGTTTTATGGAATATATACTGAGACCCCAACATGTATATGTATATATTTGATCGGCGTAGAATATATATATATATATATATATATTGAGGAAAATTATTTGTTTTTGGTTCGAAGAAATAATGTCATCATATTTATTTTTTTTTTAATTTCATACAAGAAATTTCAGAAAAAATTTTGGGGTTATTCTCCCGAATTTCACCGACAAATTGACATATATAAAAATAATCATTTCTTGTGTATAAGTATACACATTGCGGATTATATCAAGACCCTTCCGATAAATCTTGGGGTTCTATAAATAGGAATATATCTTAAAATAAAACTATGTACATTATTAAATATACATTTTAAATTGCGTCTAAATCGCGTAATCCTCAAAATCATTTGATGTGCATGCGGTGTCCAGAAAGTACTGAAGTTTATCTTCCAATCCATATATATTTTGCAAAATTTAGTTTGACGGCTAAGATGTACCACATTTAACATTACCACACTGTGGTAAAAGGTATTATGTCTTTGGACCCATGGTTCCTTTTGAGAACATGCATAGAATCACTTTCTGAGTCGATTTATGCATGTCCGTCTGTCCGTCCATGTATTTTTGTGAACAAAGTACAGGTCGCATTTATGATCCGATTTGGATGAAATTTGGCACATGTCACTTATTTGGCCCAAGGACCTGATTTAGTATAGCCTACTGAATCAGGTCCATGCTTATGTGTGCTAAGTTTCGTGAAAATCGGTTCTGATTTAGATATAGCTCCCATATATAGATTCATCCGATTTAATGTAAATGGGGTACCAAAGTCCCTATATATCTTTCGATTTGCACAAAATTTGGTATAGCCTACTGAATCAGGAGCATGCTTATGTGTGCTAAGTTTCGTGAAAATCGGTTCAGATTTAGATATAGCTCCCATATATAGTTTCGCCCGATTTTAGGTAAATGGTGCACTAAAGTCCCTCAAAGTCATTTGATTTGCACGAATTTTGGTATAGCGTATTTAACTAAGTCTGGAATGACGCGTACTAAGTTTCGTAAAAATCGGTTCAGATTACGATATAGCTCCCATATATAGTTTCGCCCGATTTAAGGTAAATGGTGTACCAAAGTCCATATATATCTTTCGATTTGCACGAAATTTGTTATAGCCTACTGAATCAGGTCCATGCTTATGTGTGCTAAGTTTCGTGAAAATCGGTTCAGATTTAGATATAGCTCCCATATATAGTTTCGCCCGATTTTAGGTAAATGGTGCACTAAAGTCCCTGAAAGTCATTTGATTTGCACGAATTTTGGTATAGCGTATTTAACTAAGTCTGGAATGACGTGTGCTAAGTTTCGTGAAAATCGGTTCAGATTACGATATAGCTCCCATATATAGTTTCGCCCGATTTAAGGTAAATGGTGTACCAAAGTCCATATATATCTTTCGATTTGCACGAAATTTGGTATAGCCTATTGAATTAGGTCTAGAATGATGTGTGCTAAGTTTCGTGAAAATCGGTTCAGATTTACAAATAGCTCCCATATATAGTTTCGCCCGATTTTAGGTAAATGATGCACCAAAGTCCCTGAAAATCATTTGGTTTGCACGAATTGTGGCATAGCGTATTGAATTAAGTCTAGAATGATGTCTACACCTAGTCGGCCCAGTCCGACTTTACTATTTTCCTTACTGGTTTTGAGATAAATCGGGTACATCTCTCTTTCGGCTGAAGTTTTTAAAGTTCTATTTTCCCAAAAGTGCAAAATCCGTATCTGGTATCATTTATGGAAACGGAAATGATCCACAGAAAATGCAATTAAATCCGCGATATTTTCAAAAAAATTTTTTGCCACATTTCGTGTTTTCTGGGTTTCTGTTTGCGTCTTAAATCTAGCTTCAAAATGTCAGCATCATTTAAAGGTAGATGCAGTTAAAATTTTGAAAAACGATACATAAGAGACGTAGTCCCCATTTTGTAGGCTTCTAGTTTTACTTTGACACGAAAGCCGTGAAATGAGTGGCTTAGTCACAAAATCGATAGATAACGTAAAAAACCTGGTATGCCCCAACTTGTTTTTACACATTTTTTTTACATTAAAGAAGACACAGCTTCCACCCAAATAAAGTTTGAAGGTCAATATCATGAAAAGATTGCAACGAAAGTTTCTAAGGTAAACTCGACGCCCCTATCATCAAATAATTTGACTTACCTTTCAGGCATAGTTTACTGAAAATGTTTCAAATATCGGTTATTACAAAAATGTACAAATTGGCCTGAAATATTTACGCAGTTCGGACTCGTTTATAAGAAGTTGATGTCATTGGAGATTAAACAAAATGGGGCAATACTCTTTTTGAAGATATATCCGTTTTTTGTGTTTGCATCAAGTGACGGCAAGAGGGCTTCTCAAACTTTAAACGCATTTTTTTCCAAACAGCGTCTTTGTAAATGGCGGGCACGATAATAATTATCCAATCCATTCCAAATTTTGGGACGTTTCTCTGTGAGTGTATAGTTATCGTATGAACTAGGATAGAGCCAATCGGTAAAGATCTTCCTTATTATACCCTTCACCACACTGTGGTACAGGGTATTATGTCTTTGCGCATATGTTTGTAACAGGCCAAAGGAAACTTGATAGACACATGGTTCCTTTTGAGAATATGCATAGAGTCACTTTTTAAGTCGATTTATGCATGTCCGCCCGTCCGTCCGTCTGTCCATGTTAAATTGTAAACAAAGTACAGGTCGCATTTTTGATTCGAATTGAATGAAACTTGGCACAGATCATTTATTTGGCCCAAGGACGAACCCTATTGAAAATGGGAAAAATCGGTTCAGATTTAGATATAGCTCCCATATATATTTTCGTCCGATTTAAGGTAAATGGTGTACCAAGGTCCCTATATATCCTTCGATTTGCACGAAATTTGGCATAGCGTACTGAATTAAGTGTAGAATGATGTGTATTCAATTTCGTGAAAGTCGGTTCAGATTTAGATATGGCTCCTATATATATATTTTCGTCCGATTTTAGGTAAATTATATGCCGAAATTTGACATAGCTTACTAAATTAAGTCTAGAATGATGTGTGCAAAGTTTCGTGAAAATCGGTTCAGATTTAGATATAGCTCCCATATATAGTTTCGCCCGATTTTAGGTAAATAGTCCACTAAAGTCCCTATATATCTTTCGATTTGCACGAAATTTGGCACAGCGTAATGAATAAGGTCTATAATGATGTGTGTTAAGTTTCGTGAAAATCGGTTCAGAAATAGATATAGCTCCCATATATATATATATATATATATATATTTATATGTATATTCATCCGATTTTAGGTAATTGGTGCACCAAATCTCTGAAAATCATTCGATTTGCACGAAATTTGTCGTAGCACATTGAATTAAGTCTAGAATTACGTGTGCTAAGTTTCATGAAAATCGGTTCAGATTTAGATATAGCTCCTCCGATTTAAGGTAAATGGTGTATCAAAGTCCCTATATATATTTTGATTTGCACGAAATTTGGCACAGCGTACCGAATTAAGTCTAGAATGACTTGTGCTAAGTTTCGTGAATATCGGTTCAGATTTAGATATAGCTCCCATATATAGATTCGCCCGATTTTAGGTAACTGGTGCATCAAAGTCCCTGAAAATCATTTGATTTGCACGAAATTTGGTATAGCCTACTGAATTATGTCTAGAATAACGTGTGCTAAGTTTCGTGAAAATCGGTTCAGATTTAGATATAGCTCCCATATATATTTTCGTCCGATTTTAAGTAATTGGCGCATCAAAGTCCCAATATATATTTTTTCGATTTGCACGAATTTTGTTATAGGGTACTGAATTAAGTCGAGAATGATGGTGCTATGCTTTGTGAAAAGATCCATAGCTAGGCCGATTGACACAACGTACTGAAGTAATATAAATTAGTCTCTGGCAAGTTTCCCTGAAATCGGTTCAGATCTAGATATATAACAAACACGCGACAACTGTTAGGATACATATGTAGAATATACCCAAAGTGGTGAAGGGTATCTTATAGTTGGCCCAGTCCGACTTTACTACTGGTTTTTTAACTTGTTTTGTGGTGAAAAATCGGTTTTTTTAAGCTTTGCCATTTTGTTAATTTTTGAGCGAAGTCAATAATCCGAGTTCATGCGAGAGATATGTACTCTTTTTAAAACCGTTAGAATTTTCGGATAAAAATAATTTTGGACTTGGTGGCTGCCCTTTCTGCACCCTCCTTTTTTTTTGAAGATAAGATGGCGACATTACAAAATTGCAGCTTTTGCTAAATCTAAATATGCGATACAAGAAACCTGTGGGCCGGGTCGGGTGTAATTAAAATGAAAAAACGGGCCGGTTTGGGCCGGGTCGGCTATAATTAAAATGAAAAACAACGGCGTCCCTGATGTCTACTTAAGCCAAAAACTACACATAAACCCCTCAAAAAATGTCAAATTATGAAGGTTGCTTCTTTGAACCAGATATGAGACGATTAAAAATTTGAGTTCTGTCACCGACTCTGTAATTTGGTAGTAAATTTTTAAAATTTCCTAACGTTGTTCGTTCTTCAAACTTAACACGATTAAATTGACAATGTCATTTCGATGATTAGTGTAAGGCAAGGTATATTAATAAGGTAACCGTATCAAGGCTCAAAGAGCAATCAAACCTTTCATTACCAAAAACTATGGGTGCTGCCATTGGCCAGAACGCGAAATATCAGAACGATTGGTTCATAAATGCGGACAGGAGTATGATGAACTGTCACACATGACTGATTCAGCGAGTAGAGATATGACCAAGGGTGGGTATAGGGCTAACATTTCGGGCGTTATAAACACATTTTCAGCGTGGACCACATATTGAAATCACTCCACCGCCATTTTATTGCATTTACAAATACG